GGTGATGGGTGACATTTGTGAAAGATTTATTTTCTCAAATTCCTGAAAGTTTTTCTTTTCAGCAAAATACAAAAGCTCTGCGCCAAATCACATTACTCATGTACAAGTGGAGAAGGATATTTTTCTAGATTTTCCTTTTTCTTGTCTGAAAAATATTCAGTAATTTAATTAGAGTATATGCAATTGCCATTTCAAAAACGAATTATTTTTATTTGAGGATATTTCCGAAACTTTGAAGTTGAAGTTTTTTTTAACTTTGTTTACTCGGCTACTAAAACTTTAAACGCGTTTTCTCGAAACGCTGTTTCGGAGTCGGTAAGAAAAATTTCTCCAAAATGGTTGGACCTATCTGCTTGTATTTTCACCTTCTTAGATATACAAGCTCTTGTCAGGCAATAGGAATGAATAAGTTTTGATAATAATAAAACAACTTCATTTTAGGCAGCCACCATTTTTTTAAAACCAAAATGTTTATCGATTTTAAGAGAATTTTGAGTAGAGAAATCATCTTTTATGGAGATCGGCTACGGGTTGAAGGAATCCAAACCGAATCGCCGATTATTATTAAACTCTGTAAATGTAAATTGTTTTATTTGTATATTAAATGAAATGCTCTTCTACAAATTTAGAAAACGCGTTTTTTCTGACAGTCAAGTGGGTATCAGAATTTGTTCCACAAGTTTATTCTTCATCACCCTCGTATAACGGTTATAATAAAAGCAATTCAAAGTGCTATAACTTACTAACAAAAATGCCATAAGCATTAAATTTTACTCCCAACCTGGTGCAAACGGGTTAATTGGTACTCATTGTAAAACTTGGACATTGGGAGTGACTCTTTTCACAAAAGTGTGTTCTAAGTATGCCATCTCTCCACTAAAGAATGGTCGTGATTGGCCAATATTTTTAGAGCCCCAGATACCGAATGTGTGCCTAAGTTTGTCTTTATACCGAAACTGAAATTGAGCATAATCTCTTTCTGATAAGAATGACTTTGTGTCGAAAATAGGTACCCAATATGCATATTTTCAAAATTTCAACTGACTTTAAACCACTTTTATCGATCAATGTGTGAGTTATCTTAAACAATTCAGATAGAGCCTATTCTTGAAAATAAACTGACCCTGTGCCGAGAATGGATACAATTGGGTAAATTTTTAGAATTTTGAGTTGCTTAAAACAGCTTAGTAGCCAATTATTTTGCGATTTTAATTCGGTCCAAACACAATCCTAATATAAAGCTAGTAATTGCATAACTGATCGTAAACCCAATTTTTGTTACTCTTGCAGAGTTTAGTTTTTGTTCGGTTTGTAAAAATACATGACTGCAATTTGGTACAGGGTAGCAAGGGCACCTGTGGTTTAAAAAAAAATTTTAAAGTGGGAGTGGCCCCGCCTTTAATTGGTTTAATGTATATATCTCCCAAACCATTTAAGCTATATCACCCAAAAACAAATCATTTTGACACCCCTACCGACAGTGTGAAAATGGTTGAAATCGGATGATAACCGCGTCCCGGTTTTGTCAAAAACTACTACAAGTGCGATAAATGCATAACTAAATGCGTCAGAGACATACATTTTTACATTCAGGCTGGCTCTATAGGAGCGATGTTCAAAATTAGCAGATGGGCGTGGCACCGCCCACATTTAAATGAAATCACATATCTCCGGACCTACTGCACCAATTGCAACCAAATTTGGTACATTATTTTGACATTTCCATGATACAGCGCTAAAATAGGCAAAATCGAACTGCAATCACGCCTATTTCCCATATAACACAATTTTAAATTCCATTTGATTTTTTCACTTTCCAGTATACACACAAATCAAACACCAATTAATATATCGGTATAAAAAACTTTTCCCACATAGTGCCTTTAACATATGCTATCTAAGGTCTAAAAATGGTCAAAATCGGACCATAACTCTTCAAGCCCCCAGATATCAGAAATCATTCAATGTGTGAGATATATAATTGTAATTAGGAGAGAATCTTTTCCTGATAATATTGTAGTATGTTTGTATTTCGAAAATGAGTTGAATCGGGTCAATATTTCCTTTAGTTCCCATGTACCTAATGGAAAGAACTTCCGGCTGACCTTATACCGCATATGTCGGCCAACATATGAGTTATCTTAATAAAATGAAGTAAGCGTGTTTTTCTCCTAACAGTGCATCTCTATGCTTAACATGGATAAAATCAAGAGAAAACTTGCTTTAGCTCCCATATAACGTATTTCAGGATTTTCAAACATCTAGTTGACTTTACTCCTTATATATTTTTGGTGGTATGTGAGGTACCTTAATGAAACTCAGAGAGCATATTTTTTTTTAACATTATGAAGTAATGCCAAACAGGATAAAATCGGGTAAATACTACCTCTAACTACCATATACCTAATGCAAGATTTTTAAACTGTCGGTTGGCTTTATACCGTATATATCGACCAATATGTTATACATCGCAACAAAATTAACTGAGCATATAATATAGGATATACTGTAGTTTAATGTCGGAAATATAATAATTTTCGTTTTTCTAACGGCCCTTATTATATTAATTGTTTTGCGCTGAACATGAATGGAGTTGGTGTAGACCTTGATCTTTATCTCATAGCCCTAATATCATCAATTCCGATCTTCCGGTTGACGTATCGCACATCAAATCAATATATTAAATTTAGCCTCTTAGGTTAAGTTTATGTCAGATACACATACAAGTATGTCATTTGAACATGATTTTAAAATAACTTTCGTGGAATAATGAATATTTAATTCATGTTAATTCATTTTGTAATCTGAAGCTTTTTTGCCTACAACTGAAGGTATTTCCCCGGCTTTGATTCTTGCAAGTTATACTTGTAAGAGTGTGACATGTTCGGTTACATCCAAATTTAGTGCTTCCTTACTTATTTAATTTCGTAGGGCAGAATTTCTATATCGTATATGTAACTCCATAGAAGATAACTAATAATATATATAATTTAATATATAATAATATATTAAATTAAGCAAGAATATATTAATTAGCATTATGTCTTTTGGTAACAAAAATTATGGATATCGATGTGTATCTTTTCAGCACTAATATGATGAATATAGATATTTGTATTAGATTGACTTTAATATAAGGCCAAGTAATTCTATGAGCTATAGCTTAAGTTAGATACCAAATATGATTCTGATCCATTCATAATTTCGTCGAATAATGAATATTAAATTCTTTTGCAACATTTTTCAATTTATAGTTTTAACGACACCTGAAAATATGCCCCCGGCTTTGGTCTTTCAAAATTGCCAGACTATAAATGTTGGGTTACACCCGAACTTAGTCAGCCTATTTGTTTGTAATAGATATCCTCTGCTCTGAGAGCCAAGATGCACTAAATGATCCTTACACTGAACTACTATCTCTTTCTCTTCAGGCTTATGGTAATTAGTATAGGCATTATTTATGTTTGCACGAGCATGATGAATCGATGTTTAGAAAAATAGGTAATACGGATAATTTTATATTTATACCCTGAACAGGGTATATTAAGATTGCCACGAAGTTTGTAACACCCATAAGGAAACGTCGGAGACCCTATGAAATATATACGTAAATGATCAGCATGATGAGCTGAGTTGATTTAGCCATGTCCGTCTGTCCGTCTATCTGTGTATATACAAACTAGTCCCTCAGTTTTTAAGCTATCGATCTGAAATTTTGCACCTGTCCTTTTCTCACAAAGAAGCTGCTCACGGAAATCGGAACGGCCGATATCGGACTACTATAGCATATAGCTACCATACAAACTGAACAATCAGAATGAAGTGCTTGTTTGGAAAACTCTTTTATTTGACGAGGTATCTTCACGAAATTTGGCATGGATTATTCTTTAAGGCAATAATCTAATCGCCGAAGAAATTGTATAGATTGGATGACTATAGCATATAGCTGCCATGTTAACTGAACGATCGGTATCTTCACGAAATTAGGCACGAGTTATCGCTTAAGGCAACAATGTATTCGCCGCAGAAATTGTATAGAGCAGATCACCATATCATATAGCTGCCATACAAATTGAACGTTCGGAATCAAGTTCTTGTATGGGGCCTTTGTATTTGTGAAGGATATTATAGCTTCGGTGCAACCGAAGTTAACGTTTTTTCCTGTTTTTTAAATTATTCAGTCGAACATCTTTAAGATCTAAATAGTTTGGTTCAAAGTGGTTATGTTAAAAGGAGATCTCTGATGTGGATTACAAATTAAGCTCTGCTTCTAAAAGTGGCCACTTAGCATTCCTTTTACGCAGAAAACTCACTTAGGTGGAATTAGTTTTTTTTTAGAATGTCACGGGGAACTTTTTCAAAGCGAGATATTCGAAAACCAATTGAGGTGCAAAATTCAGACCGACAGCAAAACTTAAATTCATCACAATACTTAACTTAGTGAATGTATTCTAAAGATTGTAAACATTATACATAAGTGTTTTGGTGGAAGTCAGAATCACCAAGAAAATATCAGACAAGCCGTTCTTGCTAAGGGAAATAATTAAACTTCCCTTTCTCTGGTTTTCAATACACTTACTCAGAATCTTTAAACTCTTAGTCGACGCACTACAGATCTTTCAGATAAAATCTAGTTATGATAGAACTCTTGAAGGCTTTTAAGAGTCAAAAATGAGTTTGAATAACGATTAGAGATTTATGCTTCCTAAAACTTTAATAGATAATCCCAACTTTGATGAGGACGTAAACTCTAAGGGGATATTTTAGGTTGCCATAGCTATTAATTCAGTTTAGATTGTCAAAATATACTCTAAATTCATTCAAAAACAACTGCAAAACATGTAGGCTGTCCTGCGGAACCCAGGTTATATACAAGTAGAAGAGTTTGAACCAATATCGAAGCGAATCTATAGAACCAGCGGAATGAAGTTCATCTAGCTTTACTTGCGAGTACTTTCTTAAAAAACACACTATTCCTTCATTATTATATACAATGTATATCCCGTACTATATACTATAAATTCTTCGGGATTTAAAAGTTCAAAAGTAAAAATTTACTGTGCATTACTTTCGCAGTCCATTGTGACTAAGATTTTTGTCTACTCACAACTTTTCTTTTTAAATTTATGTGTGTTTGGCATTGTCAATAAATTTGAGAATTTTATTTAGAAAATTTGGGCTGGGTGGGATAATTTCCAAAAACAATTTTTTATTATTTTTTAATTGAATTTATTAACTAATATTTTCCACAAATTCATTTAATATTTGGTCCATAATAAATTTAATTTAACCATTACAATGACGACGCTCGATGTGAAATCGTCTTTTTTGAAGGATCACATGCTCAAGCTGCAGGAAGTCTCGAAGCGACAAAGCGACTATAGGCGAGCATTAGCGGCGCGACTGAAACACTTTCGACGCAATCAAATCATGGAGGGGAATTTAAAGAAAGGCACCGCCAAATTGCGCAAAGAAAAGGCTGACATCAAGGTGAAGGTGTGGACGGCAATCGGCACACAATACAAAAAAAAGAGTGCGGCCTATTTGAGAACCATTAAATGTCACACCACATGCGAAGAGAAGTTAGCTGAGGATATACACAATCACAAAACAAGCATTTTAAATATACAGCGTGAGTTGGGCAGCTTATCTCGCCACATATACGATTTAAATCGGCACACAATACCCGCAACACGGGCAATAGAGAATAAAAACAGGGCATGCAAGCACTTGGCAATAAAGGAGAACCAATTGGAGGTGGGCATACATCAGGAGTGCAAAATGACAGCGCTGAATATGAAGTTACGCGAAGAATTGCACGAACTCATTTTGGAGAGGAAAGCTTTCAACGATCATTATTTCAAATTAATACGCGACCTCAATAGTGATAAGAAATACATGACTGATTTGATTGGTTACGCTATGCAACAGTTCGACTCGAGCATAGATCTCTATGAGAGATTTGATATTTTTAAGAAGCGGCACCGTAGAGATTTGGAACAACGGCGAATGGAAATGCGTATCATCAGTCGCAATAAAGCTGAGTCAGTCAATGATACAGAGTTTTACAAGTCCAAAATTTTCCACCGATGTGTGGATGACTTGCAACCGAAAGAGTATCGTAGACGTAGTAATGTGCGTGAACGTTTGAAAAAGAAACTGATCGTCAACAAGAATGTATTACATAAAATCTTTCAATATACTGGGCAGAAAGATATCAAAACTGTTATATCCAAGTTTAAAGAGCAAGAAAGCCTCTACTACTCATATTTTAATTACGCCAATGAGACGAGTTATCATATGACGCTGTTAAATAACGCCGTAAATCGACTTTTTGCGGATATCGACATGCTTAAGCTGGAAAATCGCAGTTCCATGCAAAATCAGGTGGATCAAATCGAAAAGTTGGAGGCGCAATTGAATGAAAAACGTAAGAACAACGAGAAGTTGCGTAAGTCTTCCGAGGTGAATGACGAACGTTTGAGCAAACTATTTTTGGGTTTGAAGCTGGTGCGCGATCACTCGAAAACCAATTGGAAAACGCTAGAAAAAGAAATCAGTGATTATCGTGAAATCAATATACAAAATTTACACGATCAACTGAAGTTTGTGGAGAAGCGTATTTTCGGTGTGCTAGTAACTGTCTATAAGTTGGAGCGTAAAAATAGCAAGAAGCGTCCCAATGACTATCTCATCAAGAATATAGAAAAATTCTGTGATTTTGCCACCAGCCTAAATGACATTGTCTTAACACAACAATGTCCCGAGTGCGCCGAGGTGGATGCGGTGAACATCGATGAAACAGAGAGCGTCGGTATTACGTCGATAGAAAATGCTAAACACAAACTTTATGATAAGATTACACAACCCGAAATGCAATATCGGTTGCATAGCATAAGCTCATGCCGTTTTCCACGAGCGCGTATGTTGACCGCAAAACGAAACATGGAGAATGACTTAACAATAATTTAACATTTAAAACATAAATATTATTATAAGCAGAGAACAGCAATCAAAAAACCAAAATCTTAAAATAAAAATTATATAAGGTAAAAATTAAAATCAAAGAAAAAATTTATAAAATTAAAAATGTATATGAAATGAGAAATTACTAAAAATTAATAAATTCTTGTAACTAACATTTTTTGTGTTCTAATTTTCCTTTTTATAAAAAATATAGTGTAAAATGGGTCCCGATTCGATTGGCCCATTAAATTTAACACCTCTAGAACGATACGTAGTACAGTTCTCGTTATTAAAATACTTTCGAGGAAAAGTAATGACCGCTTGTGTGTGACCGCATTTAGCCAGCCTCTGTCTCCCTTTTCAACCAACCAATCGGACAAGGAACTAACAGTCCTCACGAACCCCAAAAATCGTTGGGCCTTTTTATTTGTCGATTAGGTTTACGCGTGCAGTTTAAATAAGCCTTCCCCGTGTTAATTTTGTTCAGATGGTAAGCTACTCATCATGTCCGTCGTATTATATGAAACAAAATTAAAAACGGGCTATATTCTGCGAAATGTTTATTGATCTTTCGGTAATTTTATCCTAGAAAAAAGTGACGAATTGAGATATCGAATTCATTGAATAAAAAAAAATATGTTTAAATATGATTTTTTGCTTTATTATTAATGTATTAAATAAATTATATTATAATACTGAGTTCTAAATTCGAGTTATTAAACTAATGTAGAGTAATGATCATTGAGCTCTTTGGAATATGCTTTCGTTGGGGTGTTTTCGTTATCGCTTGTTTCGCTGTAATATATGCTATTAAATCTCATTAGTTGTTTCCGTTGTCACATCAGCATTGTTAATCTCCTCGCCCAATCCCAAACCGCTAAGAAGGCCACCAAGAAAACTGCCGATCAAATTTGCATTTCCTGCTGGACGACCAGGAGCAGGCTGCGCTGGCGCCGGGACTGCAACAGGCGCTGGAACGGGCGCAATGGCGCCCATACTATTACCACCAGCACCAAATCCAGTAGCGGGTCCATCGCAATTGTACATTTTGTTCAACTTTTCAATATCGTAGCTTGAGAATCCTTCCCGTTGACCCATACGTTGACTGCCACCCGGTTGCTTGAGGGAGGAAAATACGTACAGTAAATAAATGTGTCAGTGTTCAAAGTGCAATGTGTAGAGTAACATATATATATATATATATATGTATATATAACATATATATAAATAAGTATATGTATATATCTATATATAATATATTGCATAACAGATAGAAAATAAAAGCAGTTACATATGTCGACGAGAAGGAAGTACTTTATCAGCAATGCTGTAGGAGGACATGCCTCTCTGTAAACTTGTAGGCAAGTCGTGCGAGCACTTAATACAGTCACCAGACCCCGGTTTATTCAACCAAATGTGGAACCTTCACACGCTGTGAATTTTCAACTAATCGCATAATAAATAATAAATGACTTTGCTCAAGTGGCAAAAGTGCTCTGACGTCTCTCGGTGTTTATGTTTACTTTTCTGATTGTATATACAGTATGTGTGATCTGTTTTGAGATGTGATATCACAGTAAGTCACTGTGAATAAAATGGTGTTAAGTAGATATTTATCTTTGTACATATTTTGTTTTTGAAGTATAAGTCGAAAAAATGTGTAAACCCCAAGCGCGATCCCTTAAATTGTATTATTTGAAAAAAAGCTTAGAAATTATTATGTGTTTATGTGGTCAATTCATCGTGGTCATTTCAAATGCTCAACTATTTGAAAATATTCTCCAAAATTATGAAGTTGATTCAGAGTCGGCGAGGAAAATTTCTCGGAAACGGCTAGACCAATCAACTTGAAATTTTTTCATGACCCTTTTGGATATATTTGCCTGGTAGCGATCGAAAGAATAATATTTTTAATAATAATTGATTTGTTAAGCCACTTTGAAGTGTAAACCTTTTCACAAAAAACGAGTCCAATTTTGGAAAGCCGCCATTTTGTCAAAAATCAAACTTTTTTACTGGTATTCCGACATTACCTGTATTCACCTATTCTACTAATAAATTTTGGTTTATGGATCAGAGGCATTTTTAAGCAAAAAAATTTTTTTTCTGACTTACAAATCTAATGTTGTTTATGATAAGTCCGTTTTGTCTGACGTTGGCGGGTTTGTACTGAGAGTGAAGTAATCCTTCTATAATACATTCAGTGCAAGAGAGAAGGGTGAAGGGGGGATAGGCGACAATTGCTATAATCATCCTGGAGCCCGGTTTTTCTCTACGAGTTCATCTATATCGAGGTATAAAATCATTATAAAAGCTAACATCCCATTCCAAGATTTCTGACCCTTTACCCATACAAATAATAATATTATTCTTGCTGTATTCTTCCTGAGCCGTCATTCTATATTTTCATTTCTCCTTAGCACCAATCTAATGAAGTATTAGTATCTACGATGTTCAAAAGGAATAGCATTGTTGCTAAGACTTTGTTGATCAAACACACCTTTTTTTGTTGGACCAATCCCATTGAAACCTCACTCATTTAAAAATATTTGACCAATAATAGAAACTTCGCACTTTAAAAAAACAGAATCACTGATGTCAACTCTTTTCTCTGACATAATCAAATATAAAAAAAACACTCTTTCTTTAAACGATGATTTGCATTATTTTAGCCTCTAAATCTTACACCTGTCAAATAGTACTTATTCACCACATACTCACCACAGCTACGATTGTCGGACGACCGTTACGCGAGAAAGCATTCGCCGAATAATGCATCACACTACCATAATCGTAAGGTACACCAAAAGCAACGGTTTGCTGAGCCTTCTCGAAATTCGACACCGCCGTTGGTTGTACATTCTCCACCATTATATCCACATAGGAGTCACGCTCCTGCCGATTCTGTTCATGTAGGAAACCCAGTGCATGCATAAGTTCGTGCATTGCGGTGCCAGGTTTGGTGAGACAACCAGGCGATTGCAGATTGACCTCTTGCTTGCCGCCCACACGTCCAACCGATGACCAACAACCAGAATTGCCACTCACAATCGAAATGTAATCACTTTCACGGCTACGTGGAACAAAACGTATACAGGTGCGACGATGATACTCGTCTATCGCATGCTCAATGGTAGCCATATCACGTGCATTGAAGTTACCGCGTATCTCGAAAGGCACCACACCGTTAGGCCAACGTGAACTTAATGTGGTAATGCCATTTTTGGTCAATACTCTTCGAATAGGCACTAGAATGTCACCCTCGAGGTAGGAACCTAACTCCTCAGGATTAACCGGTGACTCTTCGGCTGTGTAGTTGGCCACCAACTGGGCTGTCACTTCATTATCTGGCATGCCATAAAGTGCATTGCCATAAAAACTCAAGTCAATCGCCTCTTCCTGCTCCTTGCCGCCATCATTTATGAGGTCGTCAATGTTATTCAAATCGATCTCCAATACCTCTGTGTTATCATCGTCATTATCATGGTAGATGCCGGTGCCATACAACGGCGAAGCTTGGAGCTGCAGCATTAGATGATAGAAAAGCGCGAGCGCGAAGAGTAAAGCTTTAGGGTGCTTTGCCATTGTATCGAAGAAACTCGTGGAGTTTAGGGATGAAACGTGACGAACACAATATTTAACTGTAGTTTGGGTAAAATTTTTTGAGCTCGGTTTCGATTTGGATAGCTTTGGTTACACTTTATGTCACTCTTAAGAACACCGTCTTCGAACTGTGCACTAACTACTATAGAGCATTGCTTTATATACGCAACGAGTGTGTGAGCCGGCGGTTGCTAGAATTATTCCCACTCATTGCTGCCGCTCCGGGCTTGCACTCACTTTGGCTTAAGCATTACGGTATGACGCCTCTTATCGACCATAAATTTATGTATCATAAATTCGCATAAAAAAATGGGCGGTAAGTTACATTTAACCGTAACAGTAGTCGTTATGTCGAGTACCTTTCTTTTTTGAACAACTTTAACAACTCAAAAGCTTATCGGCGTTTCGCCTAAGACCTTATCGCCGCGCATGGTGCGGTTTTGTTGGTTCAGCCGCTTGTTCGCCGTGAAAAAAGCCGGCGAACGCTTGTACGAATTCTTATTTGCTCAACATCGCTTAGCGTTAATGTTATTCAAATAATTTGGCTATTCTTCGCTGGCAATGATTATGAACTCATTTATACTCCTAGTTCAAATAGGAATGGTTGTATGACTATCAAAATAACTACCACTGCTTTTGACAATGTTAATGCGCTTTTTATGTTTTAAAGATGTCGACTTTGACTTTGGCGTTGAAAATGCCCGATAAGTAGAACAAAAATTATAAAGCTATATTTTGACTTGGCAATGAGTTGTGATTTAGAGTGGAAAGTGTGATGATAGATCAGTGGTTATGTAGTATGTATCATAAAGCGAGTAAGTTTACCTACGAGTACTTGGCCTGTGTGTTTAAAGTTTGAAGAGTCTTCCACAGTTAATTGCATGTAAATATTTATAAGCTAACTGTAGTCTATTAAATTCAAATTAGCAAATATTTAATCGCAAGTGTAGAACATGAAAAAATAATACTTATGTTAATACTTCAACGATCAAAAAATATGTGTACTTGAGCTTTTTTGGAAAATCCAATTAATTTCTAGAATGCACGCTAAAATCGATGACAAAGTCTGTGAAACAAAAATATATAATATATGATAAATTGAGCAGTAACTAGTACAACAGATCTAAGCCAGGAATTGCGTAATGAGAAGCAAGCTGCGGTATTAACAAGAAATTTTCATTATACATTTTTCTAAAAACATATTTTAGGTTATTTAAATATGTTTATACAATATATGATATATATTATATTGAGACAGTAAGCCAAAGTTTAAAAATAGTAGAATTTTATAAAAAGAGTAACATATAAACATATAAAAATTCAACGCAGAAGACTCAAACTGAGCGCTTTTGTTAAAGCGCGTAACGACTGTTTTACTATGTAAATTAGCCGATGAGTCATTAAAATTGAAATCAATAATACTCTGGTACTACTTACAGGTTCTATTATCTGAACATACGAAGTGTAATCTTGATGATAACGCCATAGAGGCCAGACTATTCCATAGCGTTAAGTATTTGTAGTCATTTTGCTATAATAATCTTTTGGGGCGAATTAAGAATACTATTATCTTATTGAATTAGAGTTTTTTGATCTTTTAGGTTTTTTCTGAAAATGCAAATGATTCAAAGCTACTTTTAACATATACAGTTGTTACTACGAAACAACCGGTTGATGAAATATCACATATGATATCTTAGCAAATTTCGATGGTTTCAAGTGTCCAGATTACGAATTTATCCATGAACGCATTCAACAAATTATGCAAAGGTTTTAATGTTTAATAAAAAGCAAACGTCCAGTTAAAATCAATGAAAATATTTTTTTGAAGTCTCCAACTTCCCAGAAATTGTTGCAGTCTATCAGTGTAAGTGATAGGTAGGGTGAAACATCTACTCCAAAGTTATTTTCTCAAAATGAAATTAGTAATTTGAAACGTGATCAATTTTGGAATGATGAAGCAATTTGTCAAAGAGTTGGATATGGAAGGATTTTGTTTGAATTAAGTAGAAACTTCCGAAACTTGTTATGTAAAAGTTGAAAAGTGGCCTATTTGTTGATCCTCAAGTTCATCAAAGATACTGATTTTATCAAAGTTATGACTGTTTCGGAAAGTGAACCTGGGAAAAGTGTAGTGTTGATAGTCGAAATTTTCCAAAGCATCAAATTATGAAGAAAATATCCTGACAAACTTTAATATTCTAGAAGTAAATATTGGTATCAAGTTCGACTTTATCCGCAATCATTTCGATAAATTGTCGGATAATTAAAATAGTTATAGTCAGAAACAAAGAGAGCGGTTCCACTTGGATCTAAAAGTAATGGAAGAAAGTTATCAAAGTTGATGGGATCGTCCCAGTACTGCAGTTTATTGCTGATTCTTAAATAAACATTCTCAACATTAAAATTATAAGGGAAAAACTCATTTAATTGAGATATAACATATATTTTGTATCTCTGTTTATTTCGATGCATCCTTATTTTCCAAAACTAAACTGATATTTGACACAGACATACCCAAAATCGATCTTATATCTAGGGCGAAACCACCACTGTACACTAGTATATGGGTCATAGACTTATACTTGACATAAACTCAAGAGGCTAAATTTAATATATTGACCAATCATCCCCAATATACATATATATAGAGTAAAGTAAGCCGGATGTTCGTAAATCTAGATATTAATAATACAGTGGTGGTGGCAAGTTTTTCCTCAATATTATCCATTTTGGGCAGAATGATACATTGTTATTAGAAAAAAACGCTCTTTCAATGTCATTAAGATAATTCACATATTGACCTATAGTTGCGCTATAAAGTCAACCGGAAGTTCGAAAACTTTTCTATTAGGTATATGGGGGCTAAAGGAATTATTGATCCAATTCAACCTATTTTTGACATACAGAGATACTATTATTAGAAAAGAATTCTTTCCAAATTTCTGTAACATATAACATGTGCCTAAAATGAGTGAAAACTTGACCTAACACCTACAAGTATATATGTTTTGTACATAACTAATATCAGAATTTTCGAACATCCGGTTGACTTTACTCCACATAGATTAGTTATGCTACCTTAATGAAGCCCAAGAAGCATTTTATTTGTACGTGGCATGTTAATAGTATGTGGTATTGGCAAAAATAGATCAAATTGGGTCAACACTACCAACGATTCCCATATTCTAATATATAATAATGAATCCTCTAGTTGACATTTTCCCCATCAACTTAATATATATAAAATTTAGCCTCTTCGGTTGAGATGTAATATAAATGTGTCTCATTTAAAGATGTTTTTAATATAATTTTATCAGACGCGAACTAAAATATAGCAATAAAATTTAGTCTAAGTTAAGAAGATACTGTATTTGATTGTAATTTATTTACGATTTCTTCGAATCTTTCGCAACATTTTTCAATATACAGATTGGCATCACCTGAAGGTATTTGATTCTTGCAAGTTGCAATAGTATAAAATGTTCGGTTACACCCGATCTTAGCCCTTTCTTACTTGTTTTACTATACATTATTATCATATATTATTTGTAGTTAATCTTCTTTTTTCTGTATTTGGTTTAAATGAGTTTTACATAAAACATTCATTAAAATTGCTTTAAATATTTTTAACCTGCAGCTAAATTTCTTTTTACAAGGTCAAAACTCCAATGTAATTTAAAAGGTAGATGCTATCAAATGAACATTCCATGAGCTTCAAAATATTTAGTATGAACAGCAGAAACAGTTTCAAAACCAATATGATAAATAGAGCTTTCTTATTCAATATTTTTTTAATAGAATTCATATATTTTAAGAGATGGCTCAACTTCTTTTATGCGTATATTAAAATAAATACAATGGAACTGCAATTATTATTACAATTTTACACATAAAAAGTCCAACACGAACTTATTTTTGTGCCAGCGCCGAACATTCATACTCATCACACGAACGTCTTGTGCAATAAACCAATAAAATACAAAGGTTATATACATATATACATACATATTAACTACAGTCAAACCTGGTTAAGAGAGAGTTCAAGGGGCCATGAGTTTTTTTTCGCTTATAGAATTTTCCAACTTATACTCTCCTTAAAACTCTCTAATGCGAGTTTCTAGCTTATAGAGGTACAGAAGAGGTTTGTCTCACTTACAGAAGTTTCTCAATGACATTCAAAATATTTAGTTGTAAACATGTGAAAGAATAATTTATTAGAGTGATTACAAAGTGATTATTAAAATACATAAATACAAAGAAGCAAGTAACAGTCAAATTTTATTTGAAAAAATCAGTCAACTTTTTGTGTGTCATTTTATACTATGTGTATGCTTTTCGAGTTCATATATTTTATCAAAAATAGTCTTATCGCCAACCGCTGAGTATTCAAAAAACTTCTGGAGCGTCTCCAAAGCCTCTAAAGCTTCTTGCTTTTTTGGCATAGTTTCAATTTCTCTATTCGAACTAGGTGATTGATTTATCGTTTATATATTATAGGTTGTTGTAAGAGCTGTACTGTTCGTTGCAAATAATATTTATGAACGGCAGTGAACATGACAAATAAGTTAATACAGTTAAATATTATTCTTTTAAATTACAAGAAAACAACATAGTTCCTGATTCTTGAAAAAAAAGAATAAGTCTTATATGGAGGTTTTTGTTTCTCAGTCATAGAGGTTTTTGAGAGGTCAAAGTTCGGGACCTGAGAATTATTCTCACTTATAGAGTTTTCTCGCTTACCCAGTTCTCTCTTACTCAGGTTTGACTGTATTTGCTAAAAATCACTTTATCTCTACTGATTTTAATGGTAAAATCAAAATTTTCACACATTTTACTCAAACGCGTCGGAAGCATTTGCACGACTGATTAAATGGCGGCGGAAACTGGAAATAAAATACAGTTACATTTCCAATGGAAATAGCTAATATGAAGTGAACACTATATAAGGAATAATTACAACATTTTTTAACTGTAACTAAAAATTTTAAATACATACATACGTACATAAGTGCATAAGTACGTGTATATTATATGAGCCTAAAAATTACAATTCGATACAAGCAATGTATACAAAAATTAAAGGATTTTATATAATAAATTTAAAAAAATGTGTTTAACTGAACTCACTGTTAAAATTCAATTTAATCCAATATCAAAA